ACTAAATTTTGAAATTGACAGACTAACTTTACAGTATGGTCAAACTTTATGTTTGAGCACCAAAATGACAACTGAAAGCTTTTTGTCAAGAAGATCATGCATTTTTTTTCCATACTTGATACTGAGGTAGTGTAACATTAGGCCTACATGTACTGTGCATCTCTTCTTGCTTACTCAATATTCTTTCCCTCCTCAAAAGACATCAAAGTGTCAGTTGTCAGTTGTGTACAAAAATTCTATTTTAATGCAGCATCAGAAATACTACACAGATCTATAGATATAAAGCTATGTTGGCATCCACATAATCATCATCATCATCATTATTAACTTAATGCCAGGACACTGATGGTGTGAGGTTACATCATCAATGTATAATTTTTCAGGCCATTGAATCTCATTCTTTTTTTTTAGTTTTGAGTGGGAAAGGCTCAGGATAAATGCAATCATTCATATTACATGTATGTTTCAATACAAAATAGTCTTCCATGGATATATGTTTTTTTTTTCTTTGCAGGGCTGGTACATAGTAACATATGCCCTTGGTATTTACCACCTTAATCTCTTTATTGCATTCCTGACACCTAAAATTGATCCAGCTTTAGAAGAGTTAGGTGAGGAGGACTTAGGTGTGTTTATTTCTTGTTAATTGCGTATAATATATAATGTTTATAGTGGTAGAGGTATGCTGTAGAATGCCGGGAAACACTGTATGCACGTGTATATTACAAACATCATGCATTTGAAGTGCAGGATAAACATGTAAAGACTTCAGAGATTAGTACATTATAATTACAACGTATTTGTGTACAATTTCAATACTTGCAAAATTTAATGACATCAACTCGAAAAAAAAAATTCTGAGTTGATGTCATTTCTACATTTAATATTCCTGTCATTTTCTAGTATAATTTTCTGCTTCTAGTTTTTGAAATTCATCCTGCATTATCCAAAAATTTTACCAATCACATATTAAGGCACATGCCAATGGCAAAAACAAAATATGGCTCTACCGTGCAATATGGGCTCATATTTTGCACTTCCTCTTTACCCAATGATGTTGGTAAAATAGCATGACAATAGAATGATAACTGTCTTGTATTGCTGTGGGTAGAAATACTCTTAAGTCACTTTACACCTCAGGAATCAGAGTCAAACCTGACATTTACAACCATTCTATTTGATCTGTCCTTGTTCTTTTGAGACAATTTTTGTATTATTTTACAGAAGAAGATGGTCCAGAACTCCCCACCAAAGCTGATCAAGAGTTCAGACCATTTATTAGAAGATTACCAGAGTTTAAATTCTGGTAAGTCTTCTTTAGAACATTTAACTAGAGTCTGGAAATGTACAATTTTAGATCTCCACTGTACGTCAAGTGCTACATGCACTCTATTCTTTGTTGTCTTGTGGTGTCTGACACAAACATGCTAGTAAGAGAATTAAGAGATGGGTGTCTCTATGGAAGACTGAAGAGACTCAAAAAAGGTGAATTAAATGAAAGGTTGAAGGTTCTTGACTATTAAATGGTCAAACATTTCATCAAACAGTGTGATCTTGTTACCTCTGTGAGCTTAGTCACACGCATTTGCTGTTTATTAAAATGCTTAGTGCTAGTATGACTGATAAGAGACACCCTTTGTTCATTTTTTGATTTGGCCTACCCATTTCCAATGAAAGCTGAGCTGTCCTTTGCTAAACCTCTGGAAAGTAATTTGCCAATTAT